GCGAGGCCGTTAGGCCGAGACAATTCTTTTTGCAGATGTCGCCCCAGCCAGTGTTATACCACCGTAACTAACGAGTTTCATATACTATAACTGTTTTATCGCAATGACATGTTTTCTTTTTTTGTAATAGAAACAAATGAATAAATAAATCGTTAGCAACATTATAGTTATTTATGATAAGGCAGTGTTTTTCAAGTTGTTTTCGCTGCCGCAAAAAAAATATACAAAAGACATCCAATGATTGTAAACTGTCAAGATTAAAGGGCTTTTTTCAGTGGAAATAATTTATTCAGCGGAGGTACCTTTAGAGAGTAAATTTCATTTCATTAATTAGCTTTGTTTATATTTTTAATTGTATTTATTTATTTTATTTTATTTTATTGATTCCATTTTTTTATTTTATTTTTATTTGTTTTTGCTACTGGGAATGGTCGTTATCACTGTCCCATTACAGCCTATATGAAAAAAAACTGCATTAATATATACAAAGTGCGAAGAAAACTCGACCTATATATAACAGTCGAGTTTTTTCCTATACGAATCAATGAAAAAACTGTACTGTTATATATCAATACAGTTTTCAAATGTTAGAACAAAAGAAAAAATCCAAACCATGCGATAAAAAAGCATTAATGCAAAGCATCAAAGGGCGTCCAAGCAAGAAATTCAGCAAGTGAATATGAACTAGTAGACACCTGATGACAGGAAATTCTTATAATCGTTTCAATGGTTAATTGGTTTTTTACCAAAATTATATATCATTTATGACTGGGCAGACAAAATAAGTTGTTCATCATGAACATTGGTAGGCATGCTAGAGATTAAAATATAGGAACTTGAAATTCTATCAATATTAACGATAATATTCAAATAATATACAGGTTTATAATATCCAAAATATACCCCTATTTGGTATAAAGTTTAGGGTATATATTTAGATATTATCATTGATATTGGTTATTTGTTATTATTTCAAGTTCATGTGGTATTTTCTTTGGAACATAAAAAATAGCAGTCAAAATGAACAAAGTCTGTTAATTGATTTATTGGGAGGTCAGTCTACTATCTTAATGAATTACCTCAGAAACCTCGTCTGACCCACCTGAGTGTTTACATTCCTATCAATAAATCCATAACAACTCATGTTAAAATTGCAGACGAAAGTTTCTTTTGTTAAAATGTCACAATTTTCGGCAAATGAATATTCCACTCATACTACCATTCACAGTTATCTAAAGAGACTGGCTTTATAGTATACTATTGCTAGACCTGTTAACCAAAATAAAAGCGACATTTAAAGTTATGAACTAGGTCTATTTCAATATTCACGGTGCAATCAGGGCCGATAAAAGGAAAACCGAAGAAACCTACCGAAAAGACAATTTCTATGATACAGCAATTCGTAAAGATGGCCTACTTAATGTTTTACTATAGATTTATAAAGAGTGCAATTTATTGTTTGAATATGTTTCTGCAAAATTTTCCTCCAGTCATAGTGCAACACGAATGACCGTTTCGTTAAACTAGATTTACTTCTATAAATAGATTGTCGGACTTTCACAATGTTAATGTCATCATCTATTTATAGGTACAGCAGTAACATAAATAATAACCCACATGATTAATAAAAAAACCCCGAAAAGTGCGATAAATTGACGGATAAGATAATTTCATTTGAATATATTTGCATTGCGAAATTTTGCAGTACGCTATTCATTATACATATCGCGACTCATACCAATAGGAATGATCGGCAATTATGAAAGACGAAAACGCCCGAGAAGTTGCAATTGCCCTTTCATAAAATCTGGGGCGCCGCTCTTCGGCGCGGACGCCAATAACAAATTGCAAATAATGCGCCGGGAACTCAGGCCTATGATTTTAATATTGAGAAAATTCAAGTAACTAGAGTAGATATTAGTATCTAAATGGCTGAATGTAATGGAAAATAATGTCTTTATATGTAATATATGTCAATTATTCTGTACAGGCTTAAAAACCGAACCATCTAGAATACTTTTAGAAACATGTGTATAACGTATATATGACTCAAGCCTCTTGTAAGAATGGCCATGTCTGTACAATTTGTATGATCGAATGCAATGTGTACACGGATAAATTGATCATCAAAATATTATGCACAACCTAATTCGTTGTTGAAAAATATTGATCATTGACAACATCTTATTGTTTTACGTGTTATGCCTGATGTTGCTTTCAGAAGAAAGGGAAAATAAAGGACAAATATCTTGATATATTGATAATTATATCTAAAATGCATTGACAATTTAGGGTAAAAAACATTGAACCCCGATTCAAGTGTTTATTATTTGGTATCATACCTAAAAAAATATACATGAAAGGCCCTATTATAAATGATTTCGCATTATATTATAATTGGCATTGTAAATAAAGGTTTTTATGCACATCTTTGCAGGCTTTGTTTAACTGATAGTTTTATAGCATACCATCTTTTGTTTTGTATATTTTGTATTAAAATCAACGGAATTAATATCGACTGATGGTTCTAAATACAAAACAATATAAATAAAATATACACACTCAGCATATTATGGGTAAAAGATAAAAAGAAATCATTTGTAAGATGACTGAATTTAAGATGAATGCAAATTATATTTAAATTACACAGGATTTATTGTTTCTAAACCAAAAGTATTTATATTAGTGAATGATAAAGATTTATTTAAAGAGATAAACATATTCAAATTGTTTAAAAACAAAAAGATTGTATGAAACTATTACTTAGGAAAACATTAGTACAAGACAATATCAATATCATCTGTACAACTTCATATTGTAAATGTATGACTAGATTTGACCACTTATAACTTTACAGACGTCTACAATGTTGCAATTGAAGGTCACTGACCGAGATTTATGACTTGCGACTTTTACTGATTATTACCCTTTCTTAAATAAGACTTGCAACAGGGACAAATCCCCCTTTGTTTTACCTCAACTATTCGAGAGAAAAAAGGTATCCTACTCACTCAAGCCTCGATGTAACACTTTGGTTAAAGTTTTGCATGCAACATATTTCATTAACCACTAATGATATTTGAGAGCATAATAGGTATACATAATTTTGACAGAATTATGCTCCCTTTTAGCTTGAAAAATTAAGGGTTTCCAAGGCCCATTATTCTGACATTGATTTTGAGTGAACTGGGGAAGTCAAAATAAGTTAATATTTTGCAATACTTCTTTCAACTTTATGTTTTATTTGCATGAATGATAAATAACTAATGTGGCCAAAGGACATTTCTGCAAAATTTCATGGGACTTTACCTGAAATGTTTACTTGTTCAAACGAATGGGCATTATTTTTTATACTTTTGGCAGATTTATATTTAAACTTAATTATGTCAAATCAACTCTTGGTCATCACCAATATAACAGTCAATCTTTGAAATATAAAGTCTATTCAGCTTAACTTGACAAATTGAATGACAAAAATGATCATATTGTCACTTTAAAGATATACTTTGCTCATCTTTGCGTAAAATAGTTTTTATCACAGAAATTTATTGAAAGCTATGTAATTCTTACCAAATATGTCCAATTTGAATAAAAGAAAGAATAAGTTGCGTTCCCTGTTACAGGTCATGTAAAAATGATATTTTCTTAAACTGCCAGTTTTTTTAATGACACTATATTTTCATATTGCAACCACATATAGTATGTAGAATTTTAAACATAACATGTCTACTTTGTGTGAAGTTTAAACACGTTTATTTTATATTTACAAAAAGACTGTGTGTGTAGCAATTATAAATATTTTTAAATATGAAATTTGAGCATAGTATATCTTTAAACTGTTTAATATTAAATATTCAAAGATGCCCAGTGGTAGAATACAAATACGGTACTTTGAGAAATTGCTGTTCATGATATGTCGAATAAATTTTAAATTTCATGGCACCTAAATATGTCTTCATAGAGTATTGAAGCAATTTTAAGCTTAAGGTTGATAGAGTTAATTTTTTATTGCCCTATTGAGCGTTTTTGAATATTTTACTTTTCTAAAAAAATAAAGAATTTATCCCACAGACCACGTGATCGTTCATGCACGTTTTTTTCGAAGCACTGGCAATTAGTGATATTGCAAAAGTTACCTTTTTGTATACATTGATTATCAATAATGTTTCGTTTTACAGTCGTGCAGAATGTAATTTTCCAAAGAAATGAGATACTTCTTTACAATGAATTATACAATGTTTTGCTTTTATAAGTATACAACAAATATTAATATTTCCATCGACCCTGACATGGTCATATTACATTATTCTAGTCTAACCGATGGTGCTTTTACTTGCCATATTTCTTGCACGAGCGGGATCCAGAGTAGAGCCACATACACTCCGTTAGCTAGATGGCTCATGTTTTCCTCACAACATTCCTGACTGGATTGAAACATATCGATGAGGGGCAAGTTACTATAATTTTAATAAGCCTCGCACAACAACAGCGTCATTATTAATAATCATTATATTTATATCAAAATGCTTAAGGAATGCGGATACAAATACACATTACATGTATATCTAACATTGGACTTAAAGTTTAACTTGTTGTCCGAGGTTAACAAGAAAAACCATCAGATGACAGAAGTTGTCCGATTTAATAGATGTTTTGGTCGATTGTTCGGAGCTTTGATTTGATTTTTGCTGAACTATATAGTTATATTTTCATTATTTCTGGGGCCGTGTGGTTAAAGTTTTTGACATTAGCTACTGGCTATCATCTTTGTTGGTTCGAATCCTGCCAGGGACATTAAATTCATTTACGAAAGGAAGCTATTCAGATAGCTTACGGAAGATCTGTGGCTCAGTCTTGATTCCAAATTGTACCTGATATAATGCAAGGAAAGGCATTCAATGGCTTTTTTCACCATGAAAGCTGCAAAGTCTCTATTTAGTTTTTACAACATCAGTATGACTTAAAAGCCAACAATAAACTTCAATCAAAAACAGCGGACACATTGTTAATAAATTGTATTTTCATCAATAATTTTATCCTTGGATAAATTATATCATATTTACATGTACTTAACAAATGTGATGTTAATTATGATGATATGATCACAATACAACTTTGGTTTGTTTGTTAAAGCGGTATTATATAACTGCACATTTACTGAACGTTTGTGGCAAACTAACAAGAGACAACATTTTGGTTAAATACACAATTTAACAAAGTTTCAAACGTTTAACTTTGTCATTTCACCCGTAGAGGGAATTTGAACGTCTACATTTTTGAAGCATACTTTCTAAGTAAATTACAAATATGAAAATTTGCTGCATTGTTTCGTTCGCTTTGTTGAAGGGAAAACACATAACACTGTAACGCTTCCCTTGGTTTGTCCTCTTCTTCCAAACATTGACCGAGAAGGTTGAGAGCTGTCTCCATGTGACTTAAGTTTCTTCTAGTAAAGATAACCTCTACAAGGTTACTTAGTGCCAGTTGGTGATCCTGATCCCTTTGTAGATGACCGTATGTCTTGTATTGTAAAAAGTAGAGATAAGGGAGAGAATCAACAGCAGCATAGTTCATCCATTGACATTCTGATATACTTCTGTGTGGCACATCATCTGGAAGAGGTCTAATGATTTCATACCGTAGTTCTCGAGGTAAACAATTTATTTCTGTCTGCAGGAATTTTACACAACATGATGTGACATTTTTTATGCAATTTTCACTTTGCTCACTGCATTTTCTCTTAAATAATTCAACAGACAGACTTGTAAAACGATAACGATACAGGTTCAACAACAGTAGAGTTATATCGACTTTCAGTTTGTCTCAGAATGAACTCTGCTATATCCATATCACCTACACAGTAGAACATGGACGCTAGTTTTAGTCTCCCGGATGTAACATCTGAGTTCAAACCCAATGTAAGCCACTGAAGTGCTTCATATTGAACTGTATAATTCTGTTCAATACTTGATGACGCCAATTCAAGGCCTAGAGTTGAATATATGAATGGTGCCAGACAACGACTTGCCAGCTGATCGAGTCTATTTCCGCGTATACTGTAGTATGTTAGCTTTAAGATAATTTGTTTAAGATGACATATGTGGTCATTTGACACTTTCATGAGCACTAGTAATAGGCATTCGCTTATCCCTTTCATTAAGCTAATGAAAAGTTCAGACAAACGATCTTCATATATCTCAAGTGAGTTTTGAAAACTATAAACATTATGGACAAATGTACCCAACTTGACCTGTAGTCTCTGGCTAATATTATCAATGCTTATTCGTAGTTAACATCTTCCATCGCTCTGCACTATGTCACATAATTTCTGTAAAACGTATCGCTTCTTTTCAGCTGGAAATTGTCCAGCCATTAAGTTATTTTCAGCCATTATGAAATGCGGGCAATTTTCATTTTGAACATGGCTATTGAGTTTAAGCAAGCAGTAAGATAAACATGTAAAAAGATTGTCCCTTTTCCATATGTCTTGTTCTGTTTTTTCTATACAATGCAATAAAACGGTTTTACACATAAAACTTGACAAAGCATTCTTTGCTTCGGAATAAAAAAAGGATTTCAAAGTAATTTTCATTAAAACATAGCATTGTAATTGCGTGATATTTAGATTAAACATGAGACATCTCTCTGGTAGAGAAGTAGATATTCTCTACTCTAATTCTGGATAAATAGCAATTTTGCTACTAGCACCAACAACAAAACAATCATAGCTAGCAGCATATCTGACACTTTCAGATGGTAGCCATCTCATAACAGCAGCTCTTTCAAGGAATTGTGATGTTGATTGTGGCCATGAATTAAAAGGAAAAGCAAATACAATGTCACGGTCACAACATCCACCATTCATATCCCCGGGGACAGCATTTGATGGCCCGTGTCGCTCAGTACCTTCTTGAATTAAAGGTGTTGGGAATGTATTTCTTAATAGTATTCTCCCATTGATATCTCTTATGTAATGCCAATAGGAATGTTTGTCTAAAAAAGAGGCTCATCAGATCGAAGTAATTGTAGAAAACAATACCCTGGTGTAACATTCTCATCCTGTATCATACGAAGATTGGTCTTATTATGTTTCCACTCTGGCCAGTCTTGTATCACATTATAATCATAATTTACAATCACCCCGTCAACATCTGACTTAAGTCCTGTAGTAGTGGTACCTTCAGTCTGACTCCCAAGATGATACAAAGTTCTCTTTTTACCAATTGATCTGAATGTAATCGTATTTAAACTCTCCATCAGCAAAAATGTTCTTCTCATTTTCAACACCATTTCTCATTAACACCAACATCATGTAAAACCTGGGATAATTTCAGCGACAAAGTTTTGCAATATTCAGGTGACTGAAACATTCTGTAATTATAAAAATACGTATCCTTGTCAAAACATAAGAAACATGAATGAGTTTTTGATAATATTAAGTACTGGATTTTCTTTTTACAGAAAACAAGTACCAATTAGAATAATTCTGAAAATTGATATTCAAAAATTAAAACTGTAGAAACTGACCTAGGAGAAATAATTGCTAAACTTGCTTCATAGATTTATTTCCTATCTGTACCACTAAGTATAGTTTCAACATGAAACGAAATCTATCGTTACAATTCTTATTTTATTATCGATCATAATTCATTTATTACGTCACAATTTAAGCTTACAAAACTTCTGGAAAATAAACAAACATTGTAGTATAAATGAATAAATGAGTATTTAATATAAATTATTAGATATAATTAAACTTACTTTTAATTGAAATGTATCAATTTTTCTGATATGTTTTTACGGTAAACAAATACTTCCAAGGGTGATTTGGAAAATTTCCAAATTACACTTCCTCTTTCATTGTATACGCACCGGTCTCAAGTATCAGTAAGACCGGTGTACACAATGCTTCCTCTTTCGATTTTCAATGCACGAAAAGTTAACTCTTGTAATATGAGTAACTACTCGTTTTTAGCTTTAACTCCCTTAGATATTCATCCTTGTAAGAAAAAGAATCAAACATGTTAACAATAGCTGAAGAAAGAGACGAAAAGTTATGATTGCCTCCGAGCATTATTTCAGCGACCACTCGTAAATTAAGCAATAGCGCTTATGATGAAACTGTAGTTTAAAATATATCGCATATGTATATATTATCTCTTTTAATTACAATAATATATAGCATCTATGCACGTGCATGCAAACACATATACACAGTAACCATCCGGTTTGAAAGATATTGCCGTTTTGGTTAATTTTAATATCAGTTACAAAGAACAACAGCAAATATGTTTTCATTAGTTAGGAATATATTTACTTATTTCAGTATCATCTAATGTAAGAACTAGAGTCATTTTTACAATAAGACAGATAGGCCAGAAATCCTGTGAAATATTTTATCTTCATTTTGAGACATCCTCCAATAATTATCGGATATAATTCATTCTAAATATATGTTTAAATCTTATTAGAAATATTATGCTAATTTTGAAATATAATCATTTATGTACCCTTATTTCACATAAAAAGTATGTATACATGTATATATAAAACTGCATATATCTCCAAACATTGACGGAAAGGGTCAAAAAGTTGCGACTGATTAAAGCGGTGTGCCATGCCATATATAATATTGAAAATGTGCATTTTGAAAATAAATAAGTGTTAAAATATTAATAACCTGGGGGGGGGGGGGCGCTAATAGTTTATTATTGGTTAATCGTACGGACAACATAAGATACGATGAATGTTTGAAAATAAAATAGTTAAGGCTTTTTGTTGTTAAAAATAGAGAGATATTAAGGATTAATTTCTGTTTCATCATGTAACTTTTTAAGGCATTTTATTGAAATTGTAAGTACGATAAATAGAGGATATTGAATGAGTGTAAGTTCAATACTGAATTTATTGCACGAGTTGAATGAAATTATATTATGCGAGCCTCTGGCGAGCATAATATTATTTTATTTAACGAGTGCAATAAATTCAGTAATGAACTTACACGAATTTAATATTCTATTTATCACATACCAAAAATAAAGACCGTAAAATAAGACTCATTTTTATTTATGCGCCTATAATAACGATTACATTTAGGGCGTCTTTACACTATGTTTGAATAACGCTAATGACGTCACGTCAAAATATATGCACGGCCGTGCAATACCATATTTACGGAGTCGCAAAATCGGCACGGGTGTGTGATAAACGTTGTTATTTACGTCCCTTATTCCATTCAGCTAGTTGACGACACCACATAAAGAAAAGCCAATTATGTGAGCTACAATGATAATCTGTTCAAATAATCAGTTGTAGGCTATCTGTGAGTTTTCATGATAATCTGTTAAAAAAATCCATTTGTAGGCCATCTGTGAAGCTTAATGATAATCTGTTATCAGAATTCATTTGTAGGCCATATGTCAGTTACAATGAAAATCTGTTCAAATAATCCATTTGCAGGCCATCTGTGAGTTGCAATGATACTCTGTTCAAATAATTCATTGTAGGCCATCTGTGAGTTGCAATGATAATCTGTTCAAATAATCCAGTGTAGGCCATCTGTGAGTTGCAATGATAATCTGTTAAAAGAATCAATTTGTAGGTCATCTGTGAGTTACAATGAAAATATGTTCAAAGAATCCATTTGCAGGCCATCTGTGAGTTACAGTGATAATCTGTTAACAGAATTCATTTGCAGGCCATCTGTGAGTTACAACGATAATATGTACAAAGAATCCATTTGCAGGCCATCTGTGAGTTACAATGAGAATCTGTTCAAAGAATCCATTGCAGGTAATCTGTGAGGTCATGTTATTCTCAATAAGAAACATAATTAATTTTCAGTAACTTAGAATGGGAAAAGGCACAATGTATGGTATGGTGTTGGTAGAGACCCCAGAAATTGTAAAAGAACTTGTGATCGGATAGCGGTACCATTCGCTATGACTCTTATTTGTTGTGTGCTATATGTTTGGATCAGCATCATTTAACGCAGTACCATCTGATGTTTGAGGAGGAAGCTTATAGAAAAAATCCGTTCCTGGAACAAACCTGTAGTGAACAATGAATGTAATGATTGTTCCAGGAAACAATGGTTTGCTCCTGATGAGGTTGGAATCCATGCGGCTACCGATCCTTAGAAATACTAGTCCAGCATACATGTATTAAACACACAGAGGGCACTGTTTTATCTTTACGAGCAGTAGTAAGTTAAATATATATAGTTAATGGTAAACGTTCTATAAAATTCAATAAAAAATTCTTCAATCAGGATTTTCAGATGATTTTACACTTAAAACTTTTACCTATTAGAATGGGATTGTTCATCATAAACTTTACATGTCTGTACAGTCTAATATGATAGATGTTGAAATTATAATGTTGTTTATTTTTCTAGAAAGGAACACCTCTCAAAAAAGAACAAGAGCACCGCTAGGCGGAGCATTATATGCTCGAAAGTGTTGTTTTTTAGTAAGGATGAAGCATTTGTAAGACATTACATAAAATAAATAAAGCATTACATCCTTTAAATAGCAATCCTCCTTTGTGGGCCAAATGGAACTTAAGTTATGCTCTGGAAACTGTTTTCAGTTTTGAGGAAATAGCGACCTTGAACTTTAACTTTGTGATCCCAAAATCAATAGAGTGTTCTACATAATATGGACAATCACCCTATGAAGTTTGAACACTATGGCCCAAAAATAATTCAGTTATGTTCTGGAAACTGTTTTCAGTTTTAAGTAATAGTGACCTTAACCGTAGACCTTGTGACCCCAAAATCGATAGGGGTCTTCTATCTAATATGGACAATCAGCTTATGAAGTTTGAATACTGTTGCCCAAATATACCTTAAGTTATGCTCCAGTAACTGCTTTCAGTTTTAAAGTAATAGTGACCTTGACCTTTGACCCTTAAATCAATAGGGGTCTCCTACCCAATATGGACAATCATCCTATGAAGTTTGAATATTGTGGGCCACATGGAGCATAAGTTATGCTCTGGAAACTGTTTTCAGTTTTAAAGTAATAGTGACTTTGACCTTGTGACCCCAAAATCTATACGGGTCTTCTACCCAATACTGACAATCATCCCATGAAGTTTGAATAATTTGGGCCAAAATAAACCTGACGTTATGCTCCGGAAACTATTTTCAGTTCAAAGGTAATAGTGACCTTGACCTTGTGACCCCAAAATCAATAGGGGTCCTTTACCCAATATAAACAATCATCCTATGAAGTTTGAACACTATGGGCCAAATAAACCTTTAGTTAATTTTCGAACACTGTTTTTAGTTTTAGGTAATGGTGGCCTTGACCTTTCACATTGAGACCCAAAAATCATTAAGCGTCTTCTACCCAATATAAACAATCATCTTATGAAGTTTGAACACTGTGGGTCAAAGGGAACTTAAGTAATATTCCGGAAACTGTTTTCAGTTTAAAAATAATAGTGACCTTTACCTTTGACATTGTGACCCGAAAATCAATAGGGGTCTTCTACCCAATATGGACAATCATCATTTGAAATTTGAACACTGTGGGCCAAATGGAAATAAAGTTATGTTCCGGAAACTGTTTTCAATTTTAATGTAATAGTGACCTTGACCTTTGACCTTGCGATCCAAAAATCAATAGGGGTCTTCTACCCAATATGGACAATCATCCAATGAAGTTTGAATATTGTGGACCACATGGAACTTAAGTTTTGCTCTGGAATTAAAGTAATAATGACCTTTACCTTTGACCTTGTGACCAAATAGGAGTCTTCTACCCAATATAAACAATCATCTTATGAAGTTTGAACACTGTGGGTCAAAGGGAACTTAAGTTATATTCCGGAAACTGTTTTCAGTTTTAAAGTAATAGTGACCTTGACCTTTGACATTGTGACCCGAAAATCAATAGGGGTCTTCTACCCAATATGGACAATCATCCTATGAAGTTTGAACACTGTGGGCCAAATGGTAATAAAGTTATGCTCCGGAAACTGTTTTCAATTTTAAGGCGATAGTGAGCTTGATCTTTGACCTTGTGACCCCAAAATCAATAGGGGTCTTCTACCCAATATGGACAATCATCCTATGAAGTTTGAAAATTGTGGGACAAATGGAACTTAAGTTATGTTCCGGAAACTGTTTTTAGTTCTAAGGTAATAGTGACCTTGACTTTTGACCTTGTGACCCAATAATCAATACGCGTCTTTTACCCAATATAAACGATCATCCTATGAGGTTTGTACACAGTGGGCCAATGGAACATTAGTTATATTCCGGAAACTGTTTTCAGTTTTAAGGTAATAGTGACCTTGACCTTCGATATTGTGACCCGAAAATCAATAGGGGTCTTCTACCTAATATGGACAATCATCCTATGAAGTTTGAACACTGTGGGCCAAATGGAACTTAAGTTATATTCCGGAAACTGTTTTCAGTTTTAAGGTAATAGTGACCTTGACCTTTGCCCTTGTGACCCGAAAATCAATAGGGGTCTTCTATCTAATATGGACAATCATCCTATGAAGTTTGAATATTTTGGGCCACATAGAACTTAAGTTATGCTCTGGAATTAAAGTAATAATAAACTTGACCTTTGACCTTGTGACCCCAAAATCATTAGGAGTCTTCTATCCAATATGGACAATCATCCGATGAAGTTTGAACACTGTGGGCCAAACGAAACTTAAGTTATGCTCCTGAAACTGTTTTCAGTTTTAAGGCAATAGTGAGCTTGACCTTTGACCTTATGACCCCAAAATCAATTGGGGTCTTCTACCCAATATGGACAATTATCCTATGAAGTTTGAATATTGTGGGACAAATGGAACTTAAGTTATGCTCTTGAAATCAATTTCTTACGGACAGACGGACGAACGGACGCCAGGGGGTATAACATATGCCC